AGCCTGAACCAAAAGAACCAGAGCCACCTAAAGAACCTGAACCAAAAGAACCAGAACCACCGAAAGAACCTGAACCAAAAGAACCCGAACCACCTAAAGAGCCTGAACCAAAAGAGCCTGAAACACCAAAAGAGCCTGAACCTGAACCACCAAAGGAACCCGAACCACCAAAAGAGCCTGAGCCACCAAAAGAGCCTGAACCACCAAAAGAACCCGAACCGCCGAAAGAGCCTGAACCACCAAAAGAACCCGAGGCACCGAAAAAAGAGCCCGAACCACCGAAAGAACCTGAACCACCGAAAGAGCCCGAACCACCAAAAGAACCCGAACCAAAAGAGCCTGAACCAAAAGAACCAGAACCACCTAAAGAGCCTGAACCAAAAGAACCAGAACCACCAAAAGAGCCTGAACCAAAAGAACCAGAGCCACCTAAAGAACCTGAACCAAAAGAACCAGAACCACCGAAAGAACCTGAACCAGCACCACCTAAAGAGCCTGAAACACCAAAAGAGCCTGAACCTGAACCACCAAAAGAACCCGAGCCACCAAAGGAGCCTGAACCCGAACCACCAAAAGAACCTAAACCTGAACAACCAAAAGTACCTAAACCCAAACTTCCAAAAAAGCCCAAATGTGATAAGCATGCTGAAAAAGAAACTAAAAGGCCACGTTCGAAATAAATCTAAGGATTTGAGTAGAACGCGAATTTAATAGTCAAAAGCTTGTGTGATGTTTATTAATTTTAGTTATTCTTTGTAAAATTTATTAGTATATATTTTGTATTATAAAATTAAATAAATTTATATCTTAAAAGTTTGAAACTGATATGAATAATATTCCAGAGATCATTTTTCAAACGACTGATTTATTAAGTATTTAAAATTATGATGTGCTCGAATAAAGAATTAGCCAATTAATATTTGATACCGATTTCCTATATGTGTTTTAATAAGCACATTGTTTTAAAGAAAGCCATATAAAAAAATATATATGAAAGGCTTTAAACAAATAATAAATAAAATTCTCTCGTTAAGGTAAGCGTTCTTACAACGAAATAAAAAACAAGAATATTATATATAATTCTTGCACTTTTTAAGCTTTCCTCTCAACTACAAGATTAAGTCATCGTCGCACTGGTATAGCTATACACTTATCAAATTACTATTGCTATACCAACACCTCCGCGTTTTCAGTGTTTAATATGAAAGCTTGCGAATATTAATATTTTTTATTTTTTATCCATGGTCGAATTTTTAAAGTGATTAATTTATATATCGTATCGTTAATAAGTTATATTGTTGAGGCATTAAACTAATATAATTTAAGATGTCTTTTCTCCAGAAAATTTATATTTTGATATGTTACTTTTCTTGGATAAATAAAAATTAGATTTTAACAAAACAACTAATGTTAACGAATTTAATAATAAATTGTATTTATTCATCTTGTTAAAATAGATTGATTAAAATCGAATTTAATTATATTTAACTTGCTTGAATTTATTAAAAAATTTATAAAATTGCAAATTTAAATAAATTTCATACAAATTTTTATAATTTATTATTTAATACAAAGGTTCTTTTAATTTTGTGTAACAAGGAGTGCCGTTCGAGGTGAAGTCATTTTCCTAATATAATATATATATAATTTGCTTTTAAGCTTATTATATTATACCTTTTAAACGGAATAACTTGGTTCGAAAGATCATTAAAAATCATTGTCATCTTGTTGTTGTTAATGTTGTTTTTTTTAAATGAATATTTATAAAATTGATTTTATCTTAACATTATTTATATATTTACAACTAGACAATATAATTAATTAGAAAAGAATTGATAAATTGAGAAAAAGTGTAACTGGCAATTTTTCGGATTGTGTTTTGCGATTTCTATTTAATGTTTAAAAAGTTAGATTGTATCACCAACATAACCTTATTAATTTTCATTTTTTTTTTTTGCATATTATTCTAAATAATGAATAAATTTAAGTACAATCCACACGAAAATTTCAGTTGCATTGCCACAAGCTGAAACTTTTCACCCAACGAACCTTTCGCAATTTTGCCTTTAATAAAAAAAATTTGATAAAACGTCAAAACTAGATTCAATTTCGTTGTATGTCTGTTGAAACCTCAGGGTTTTACCAGACAACCCTTAAGCGAGACAATGATCACAAACAACTGCTAACTTAATTAAGTAGTGGTTTAAGATGACATTAATGTACTAACGCTAAGTCTGATTTCAAAAAAAAAAAAAAAAACTTTCTCATTATAATATAAATGCTATAAATATTGAAGATTTCTCTCTATATTTCAATAAAAAAAAATTAATATAGAATATATTTATGAACAAAAATAATAAATTAATAATAATTCAAAAATTATAAATCAATATATATTAATCAAAAAATATATATATTAAACTTGTCAAAAAAAAAGTAATTTTAATTTATCCTTTTTATTATTGATAAAATTAAAATGCATATTATTATAGTAAAATGATATATTAAATTATACTAAAAATAATACATAATTTTGTTTAATTTGTTTTCACATTATACAATTTATTTTTATTTATATGATTAATAGTTAATTTAATTTTTAGTTTATATATGTAGGGTGATAATACTATAAAGATAATAAATTTTCATTTCTTAAAGTTATTGCTAACGATATTTATAGAAGTATTGATTTAGCTTTAAAATAGTTTGTTTTGAATTTTACTAAATTAAATAATATATAATATATAAATATAATTTACTATAATATTTATTAGAGTCACTGAATGATTTAAATATTACTATTCTATTTTTTCCATTTTTCCTGTATTTGTATGACTAAAATATACTACACAATTTTTTTTTCATAATTTTGATTTTAATTTATAAACTACTACATCTTTTTCTATATTTATATTCTCATTAATAGGAAGAACTTTTCCACTAAAATGCATATATTAGCATTTAAGAGATCTACAAATTGATTTAATTTTAATTATTCTATATCAATATAATAAAAATATAATATTTAAAATTTTGTGTCATAAGAATATAAAAATTTTTTTGCTAAAAATAAATAAAATAGAAAAGAAATAATAATAGTAGTTAGAATATGTAAAAAGAATATACAAAATTTTAAATAGAAGAAACAGATAAAATTGAAATTAATAAAAATATAAAAAATATAATTATATATTATTAAAGCTCTTAATTAAATAGAATAGAATCAATAAATAATTAAGTCAATCAATTAATTGATCACAGATTATTAGATTTTATCAAAATTGAACTAACTTTAATTGATTATAATCAATTAAATTTCTAATGGTTAATTAATTATATATAGTATTGTTATACCTCAAATGTGTTAATATCCAAAATGCGTATTTAGAATATCTAAAATCAGAATACATAATTAGAATATCTTAAATATAAAATCATTTAGAATATTTATTTGCTTTAAATAAGTATTTCAGATATTCTAAATACACATTTTAGATATTTAAATACATATTTTGAGCATATTTCAAATATACATTTTAGATATTTAAATATGTATTTAGGTATATTTTAAATATATATTTCAGATATCCAAATGCTAATATAAAGTTTGTTAATATTTTTATTTGCAATTTAAATAAAAATAAAGCTTTATAAATATAAATATTAAATATAAATAAAATATAAATTACAAGTCTGTTATTTAATAAACTCAAATTATTAGTAATCATTTAAGACAATTTGAAATGAATCTAAATTAATCTTTTAGAATATCCTAAATATTCATTGTAATATCTAAAATATGCATTTGGATATTATCTTAAATTTATATTTAAAACTAGAGTTTCAGACAAACCAAGTTAACTTATGAGTCAGATAAGTCAAGTCAAGTTCAAATCAAATTAAGTTTATATTTTTAACTTGATGATTTGTGAGTCAAATTAAGTTAAATATTTAACTCAATTAAATTTAAACTCAATTTAACTCAAATTGATTTAAGTTGATTTCTAATTTTTATTTATTTATTTTTTTTCTAATCTTTTATTTCAGTTTTTAATTTTATCTTTTTGTTTTTTAATTAATTGTTTTTTTGATTTTTTTGATTTTTTTTGATTTTTAATTTTTTCCTTTCCTTTTTTTATTTTATTTCTCCTGATTTTTTCTTTTCTTTTTTTTTTTTGTTTTTTAAATTTTTTTTATTTTTATTATTTTTTATTTTATTTTATTTTTTCCTTTTTTCCTGAATTTAATTTAGTTTTTTAATTTTTTTTTAATTTTTATTATTTTTTTAAATTATTTTTTATTTTCTTTTTTTTTCTTTTTTTGATTGCTTATTTTTAATTATTTTTTTAATTATTTTTTTAATTATTTTTTAGGTTTTTTATTTTATTTTTTCCCTTCCTCCCCCCTCCCCCCTTCCTTGATCTTTTTTTTTCTTTTTTTTTTCTTTTTTTTGATTTGATTTGTTTTTAATTTTTTTTATTTTTATTATTTTTTAATTTTTTTTTTTGTTTTTTTTTATTTTATTTCCCTCCTTCCTTAATTTTTTCCTTTTTTTTTTTTTCTTTTTTTTAATTTGCTTTCATTTTTAATTTTTTTTTTAAGTTTTTTTTTTTTTATTTTATTTCCTTCTCTTCCTGATTTTTTCTTTTTTTCTTTTCTTTTTTTTCAACTTTCATTCGTTTTTAATTTTTTTTAAGTTTTTTTTATTTTATTTCTCCTGATCTTTTCTTTTCCTTATTTTTTTCTTTTTTTTCGATTTTTTTTAATTTTATTTTTGTTTTCTGCTTCCCTTCTCCCCTAATCTTTTGACTTTGTTTTTTAATTTTTTTTAATTTTTTCCTTTTTAAATTTATTTTATTATTCCCTTTCCATTTCCCTGAAGTTTTCATTTTACTTTTTTATTATTTTTTTATTTAATTTACTTTCTTTTTTTTAAAAAATAGATCTTTTATTTTTACAAATAAGGGTGAGTATAAATTTTTTATATTAAATGTTTATAAATTAATTTAAAATTGACTCATAACTTGATTTAAACTTAACTCAACTTGAATAAATTTAAGTCAAAATCGAGTTGAGTTAAACTCAAGTTGAGTCAAATTAAGTTAAGTTTAAAATTTATATAATTCGAATCAAATCAAGTTGAAAGATTTTATAAAAATAATTTGACTCGATTCAACTTGAAAAAATGAGTTAAATAGAGTTGATCTTTAAATTCAACTCAACTCGATTCATTTAGAACTCTATTTGAAATATTTGAAATGTGCATTTAGAACATTATTTAAAATGCATATTTGCAATATCTAAAATGTGCATTTGAGATATTATCTAAAATATATATTTGGAATATTGTTTAAAATATGTATTTAGAATATCTAAAATGCGTATTTAAGATAAATATAAATTTAGGATAGGCAAATATTCTAAATGATCTTTATATTTAGAATATCTAAATATGCATATTAGATATCAATACATTTGGGATATAATAGTATTATTATATTTTATATTTTATATAATTAGCAAAATGTATCTCAATATTATTTAAATAATATTAAAACCCTTAGATTTAACTACAAAACCTTGCTACATTTCAATTTATAGAATTCTAACTTATTATAATGATATTCACGCTAAGAATCACAATCAAGAAAATTTCTTACAATAAGTGCTTTCTTTTTTA